TATATATATATATATATACACACACACACACACACACACAGATATATAACATGAGGTTGATTATAATAGTTCAATAGAATAGTTCAATTTGAATAATATATATACATATATATAGCGTGAAGTTCAAAAAATAGTTATAATTAAAAAAAATACACATACATATACACAGAGATAACATGAGGCTCAGACATAGTTCGAGAATATGTTTTTAAATATATACAAAACATAAGATTATAAAAAATTATTACTCGATAGTTCTTCTAGATTATAATTGGTTTTCTAATATTAAAAATATCATGTTTTTAGTGAGCAGACTTAAATTATTGAACAATTTGAATTTTACGGGTAAATTATTCTACAAAGAAACCCCTATGGAGAAAATGGAAGACTTTAATCATCAATCTAGGATAAGGTTGTTGATTTATATTGCCTTAAGTTTTTATGATTAAGACAAGGAGTTTGAAAAATATTTCAAATGTTTTGAGGTAATAATTTTTTATGAACTTTATACATAAATTTGAATGAAAAAAGTTTAAAAATTTGATTCAAATTAAAGATTTTTCTTTTTTTAAAATATTGAAAAATATGTTCTCTTTTTCTTATTAAAAAAAGGCATCTTATAAAATAATTATATGCTAAGCGTAAATGATCTAGATGAGAAAATGCACTATTTCCCCATAAAATTACACCATAAGTCAGATATGGATATATTAGATTGAAATAAATTTTTTTTAGTGATATCTAAAATTAGTTTATATCTTATTTGGAAAAGCATTCCAGTTATTTTGGAAATTTTGCTTGATATATGGACTAAATGATCTAGCCAGGACAGGTTGTCAGTTATCATAAACCCTAGAAATCTATTTACCGATACTCTCTCTATGGCATTGTTATTAATAAGAATGTTAGTTTTAATGTTAATGGTTACAATTTTAAACCCAAATATCATAAAATTTGTTCTTTTATAATTTATAGATAGATGATGCAAATTAAACCAATTATGAATTTTGGTCAATTCATTATTCATATCAACTGTAACTTCTTCTATATTTTTACCGGTACATAAAAAAGTGGTATCATCCGCAAACAATATGGTCTTCAACAAACTACTACTTTTGGACAAGTCGTTAACAAATATAATAAATAATAACGGGCCCAGGACCGAACCCTGTGGAACACTGTATTTAACAATCACGTTTTCCGATTTGTTACCGTCAATTGAGACATATTGACGGCGACTTTTCAAATAACTTTCAAACCATGTATAAGAAGAACCACGTATTCCAATACAACTCAGTTTTTTTTATAATATATCATGGTTAATCGAGCCGAAGGCCTTACATAAGTCTAGGAACACACCAATCGTGATGCATTTGCTCTCCATATTATTCAAAATACTTTCCGTAATGTCCAACAGAGCAAGCTCAGTGGATCGATTTTTCCGAAAACCATATTGGGATTCGGTAAAAAAATTTAAATGATTCAAGTAGTTCCGAAGACGAATAGACATTATTTACTCTAAAATTTTTGACGGTTCTGGCAGAAGAGATATTGATCTATAATTTGACATTTTTATATAAAAGAATAACATTGGCAATTTTAAAGTGGTCTGGAAATATGCCATTTCCAAAAGACAGATTAAAAATATGTTTTAATGGAAGGAGAATGCTGTGGATTGTTTTTTATTAAAAAATAAGAAATACCATCGTGCCCAGTGGATTGAGAATTTTTCATTTCAGTAACACATTTTAATATTTTAGAATCATTAATCTTTTCTAGATAAAAAGAATTTGGATTTGATTGGGATGATAACGATGAGTATGGAATGTCAGATATTTTTTGGAGATTTGTCATCAACATTCACACAGAAGGAGAAATATTCATTGAACGCTTCGAATATTTTTTTAGGTTTATTTATAATATAATTATCACAATTAATTTCAAATATTTCATGTTTATTGCTATGAGTCTTTTTTTATTCATTTTATGCTTTTTAGTGATGGATATATATTTTTTTAAATGACTCATGATAAAACTGTTTTTCTGAAATTACGACTAATCTGTTTAACTTATTTCTATAACTTTTATATATTTCACAATTTAAATCGTTAGGAACTTTTAAGTAACGCTTATATAATTTAGATTTTATTTTAAATGATTTTAAAATACCTTTGTTCAGCCATGGACTTTTTATTTTACATGGTCTTATTGTTTGAAAAACCCAATCTTGTAGTTGGCAACAACTACATGCCGGTCCCAAGCCTGGATAAATGGGGAGGGGTGAGGAAAGAAATAGCAAACTACCTCACCATTTTGCTGAAATACCTTATGGATCAGTACAATCAACTAAGTTCAGATATGGTGCTGGAAAGTGAGACTCCTGGGCTGGAAAGCACCTATCATATTACCGGGGATGAACGTGAACGTTTTTTAAGTAGCGAAGGTCGGATCAGGTGGAGACTTGCCTGCCGTCGGCAAATTTGGTCTTGGTGAACGAAATGATGCAGGAGACCGCCTGATCCAATGTTGCACAGAAAATCGTCTCTCGATCATGGACACCTGGTTTGAACAGCCGAATCGAAGGCTGCACACTTGGACAGCACCAAACGGTATACATCGAAACCAAATCGACTACATCCTATGTCAGCGCTGCTGGAATAGCTTAATACTAGCAACAAAAACGTATCCAGGCGCTGACTGCGGCTCCGATCTACTGGTTGTTAAAATCAAAATTCGTTTCAGCACCATTAAGAGACCTCAAGCATTACGCCGCTTTGACACAGACAACATCCCCGCCCAATACGCAGTGGAAATAAAGAACAGATTTGAGGCTTTCAGCGACTTCAATAAAGAGCCTGATAAAATGTGAGAGGAAATCAAATCGATCGTGGGAAAAAACAGCAGAGGAAATCATCCCGCTTAAGAAATCAATGAAAAGATCGAAGTGGCTGACGGACGAAGCAATCAAGATTGCCGAGCATCGTCGCAAGGCCAAGGCAAAGGGAAACATCGAGAAATTTCAACTACTTAATGCGGCGTTCCAAAAAAGGGCCAGACAGGGCAAAGAAGCATACTGGAACAACCAATGCGAGGAACTGGAAAAGGTGAACCAACACGGTCACACCCGAACTCTTTTTACCTATGTCAAGCAGGCCAGAAAATCTTTTACGGCATGCAAAGTGTCTACAGTCAAGGACAGTGATGATACAATATTGCAAGAAAGGGGCAAATCAAGCGACAATAGCGGGACTATGCAGAGGAGTTAGGGATCAAGATCAGTTTTCGTCACGCTTCCTAAAAAAGGCAATCTACAGGAATGTTCCAACTATCGAACTATCGCGCTCATCTCCTATGCCAGCAAAGTCCTGCTAAAGATTCTACAAAACCGCGTTGTGGCAATTATGGAACGGGAACTACCAGATGTTCAGGCTGGCTTTCGCAAAAGACAAGGCACGAGGGATCAAATTGCGAACCTACGCTGGATCATGGAGAAAACTAAAGAATACCAGAAGGACGTCTATATGTGTTTCATTGACTACACCAAGGCGTTCGACTGTGTGGACCATGACAAACTCTGGACGTGTTTGAAACAAATGGGCGTACCAGAGCACATTGAACAACTGATACAAACACTGTACTCCAACCAGGAAGCAACTGTCAGAACATCGTGGGGTAACACCGATTGGTTCAAAATCGGCAAAGGCGTCAGGCAGGGATGCATTTTATCCCCAGCTCTGTTTAACCTGTATGCCGAAACCATCATGCGACGATGCAATCTGGACGAGAGATCACAATCGGAGTCCAGCTTGGAGGTAGGACTATCAACAAACTGCGATATGCGGATGACAAAACTATACTCGCAGAAAGTGAGAAAGACCTGGAATACTTGATCCAACGAGTTCAAGAGGAAAGTGAATGCATGGGACTGTACCTCAACATCAAGAAAACGAAAGTAATGACAACGGCATGCAATGATGCATTAAACATCAAGATCAACAATGAACAGATCGAAACAGTACAAGATTTCATTTTCCTGGAAGCCAAAATTGACCGAAACGGCGAATCTGGACCAGAGATCAAAAGGCGGATTGCACTCGACCGGGCTGCAATGCAAGGAATAAATAAAGTCTGGAGAAGCAAGGATGTGAGAATTGCAACGAAAACGAGACTCGTCAACGCCACTGTCTTTCCCATAGCAACTTATGGATGTGAAAGTTGGACAATTAAGAAAGCGGAAAGAAGAAGGATCGACGCTTTTGAACTTTGGTGTTGGAGAAGACTACTGCGTATCCCCCGGACATCGCGGACAACAAATAAGATGGTCTTAGACCGTATCAAGCCAAAAATGTCGCTTGAGGGCAAAATCGTCAAACAACAACTCTCCTTTTTCGGCCATGTTATGCGCACAAATTCGCTGGAAACTTCAATGATGCTAGGTAAAGTGAGTGGGACAAAAAGAAAAAGACGGCAAAAAATACGTTGGCTTGATACAAACACATCGGCCACCAAAATGACGATCTCAGAACTTAAAATAATCGTGGAGGATAGGAACGCATGGAGAAGACAGATCCATAAAGTGGCCGAAAGTCGACTTCGACTAAATGGCTAATCATCATCATTTTTTGAAAAGGACAGCTTTTATTCACTGCCGAATAGTAAATATTTAAAAAAATTTGAATACACTCATTCAAATTTGAATTTAAACAAATACTTGACCAATCTACATTATTAAAAAATTATTTAAATTTGTCAATTTTTTTTACTCATTAAACGAATAGTTTTTGGCTTTGATTTATGTTTTATATTCATATTTAAACAAACTGTGAAAATTGGTGGTGATCAGATATATCCGAGTAATGATTCCCGATGAATGATTAGAAAAAGAATTACTAAAAATATTGTCAATTAATGTGGAAGTGGATTTTGTTATACGGTTGGGAGAGTTTATCAGCGGCATAAATGAAAAGGACTGTAAAAAATTTTGGAAAATATTTTTCATTCTGTAAAAATCATCTTTCAAAAGGTCAACATTAAAATCTTCTGTAAGATAAATATTGTACTTTTGTTGATAAGAAATTTTGTTTAAGGAGATTTTAAAATTTTGAATAAAAAAATTTATGTCGGTATTTGGGGGACGATAAACAGAGTATAAAATGATGTTGGTAAATAGTAATATATATATATATATATTAAAATATATAATACTCTCATATCACCTTGATAGTATATAAATTGAAACAAATACCGACATATATATATAGGTATGTATATATATATATATATAAACCATAATTTTTACCATAATATATATATATATATATGTATATATATTTTGTTAAATTTATTTGCCCATTTTGCATTTATCAACTTTTTTATTATGGACTCAACACAGCGTAGTTTTTGACATTCATATTTATTGTGAAATTGTGACATATTAGAAGCTGACAACGTTGTTTCGGATAAGTAGCCATCATCAGAGCCTAAAACCAATGAAATATAAGAAATTTAATTAAAATAAATGAGAATTAATCGAATTATGTAAATTATTTAGCGGACATGATAGATAAGATATTAAAAATAAAACTGGAATTGAAAGTGAAGTTAAAATGGTACCTTGCGAAGGATGTAACCTAAAAGATAAATTTAATACTAAAACATGAAATTTAATAAAATAAAATAAAAAGCTGATAAATGGAAAATGGGCAAATAAATTTAACAAAATAT